AACGCACTGATGCGGCTGATGCCAATCCCCGACACACCGATGCGGCTGATGCCAATCCCAACACACCAATGTGGCTGATGCCAATCCCCGACACACCGATGTGGCTAGAGAGGTGGAACAGACGCAACTAACTATAATTTAAACATGTTTTACACAACGCATGCTGGAGTAAACTGCATGCAAATTAGCCTAAAGGTGCACTTACATTAGGTATACATTTTTTTTTAAAAAAGAATATAAGAAACACATAAGGTGACAGAGAAACAGCGTTACTAGGGTTTATCCGAAGAAATTCTAACTAACTAGCGCGTTCAAAAGAGGAGATTCTGCTCAACTTTTCGTCCTGCAAACCCGAATATAATAAGCAGAGCAAGCTCTGCTAAAAAAGCATTTTTTTATTTTTTTATTTTTTTTATTTTTAATAAAGCTTAATTTTTACTTAACTTTTTTTTTTTTACTAGCTTCTTCTTTTTTTAAACTTTAGTTTACTTAGTAGGGGGTTTATATAAAAAGATCTTATTCTAAGCTACTATAGCTACCTTATATACTAGGTATAAAGTTATGCTTCAGTTACTTTTTTTAAAGTATCTACTTTTTAGTAAGTTTTTAATTATATAATAATTTTTAGCACTTTTTAAAAAATATATAACATAATCTTTACTAACATTTATAATAAAATATAGTTTAAAATAGCTTTTAGTAATTAAAATATTAAATTATATAAGCTTTTTAAGAAAGCTATTCTTAATAAACTTAGTATAGCGTATAAAAGGCGTGTTCTAAAGCTATATCTAGGTCTAATTTACTATGTATTAGATATTAGCTAATATATAAAAGGGTATTATATGTAGCTGTTTAATACTATTAATTTTCTTACACTTATTAATTACCTTATATTATATAAAGTAAAAAATTATAAGAATAAAAAGCTTAGCTATTATATAGCCTTAAATAAAAAGTAAAGATGTACACTAGATTAACTACTAATATGCTAATTTTACTAGTGTATGTAAAGCAGCTTATATAAAAAAAATTCTTTTTTTACACTTTTAAGTGTATTTTTAAAATAAACTATTTTTTTCTTATTCTATATAATTTATGTAGGTGTAAAAGGTTAAATTTAAACACTATAGTCTAAATAAAACTTATATTTAGTAGACTACTTACTATAAAACTATTTTATAGTAAGATAAAACTTATTTTAAGCACTTATAGTAATAATAAATTATATGTTATATAAGAAAAAGAATTAAAAAAAAACTATAAAAAAAAACTATAAAAAAAAACT